TTAGAATCTTGCACCCCAGTGTGGAGTCCTTACCTTCTTAAAGATATACGTTGCATAGAAAATGTCCAAAGATACTTCAGCAGAATTACCTGTAAAAGATGCCATATTTCTTACACTGATTACGCATCGAGACTATCTGTTTTAAAATTTTCTTGAACACCGCAGAGTTCGATCTTTTTATGACCTACAAAATTATAAACAATCTTGTCGACCTTCCTTTTTCCAATTTCTTTACATTTTCCAATTCTCATTACCCCACTAGAAGTCATGCGAAAAAATTAGTTTCACTCAATAAATATACTAACAATACACGTAGATTTTTTTTCAGTGAAAGAATTGTAAAAAATGGAATTGCCTGCTCACATTGTCGATTCATCTTCATTATTCATATTAAAAAAAAAACTACAAACTTACAACTTACAACAAAGTTGCGTATTGTATTAAATTACCTTTGTTCAGGTGTTACATAAGCGTAATCTTGTGATTACCTGTCTCACTCTTGTATTTTAATGTATTTTTTTTAATGCAAATAAATATTATTATTATTATTATTATTATTACTATTATATATATATATATATATATATATATATATATATATATATATATATATATATATATATATATATATATATATATATATATATATATATATATATATATATATATATAATATATAAAAACATATTTTTCCAGTGTAATAATATTATTACACTCTTTAGATGTAAAATAAAATTACACTCTTTAGATGTAAAATGTTCTTATTATTATAAGAATAGCAACAATAACAATATTATTGTTGTGTATTTTTAACCATTGTTAATATTATTTATGACAATTAAAAAACATTTATATACAAAAATACAATATTTTTTATTTTTAAATTAAATGAGATGGAAAAGTTATGTAAATAACCCTTAAATGTATCAACTATATTACAATTGATTTCTGAAATCAGGAGAAACAAATCTTGAATATTCATTTTGGCGCTCGTATATAAATTCTTGTTTTAACAATCTCAGGTGGTTCTAAGCTTGCCTTATTTTTTTTTGTTTAGATCTCACGGGATAATTCGAAAACGCTGATAGGAAATATAAACGTGACAAAAAAGTAGCTAAAAATATTTTCTATGTCATTGAGTTAACATCAGGCTAATGGTTGGATTTTATAGTTAACCTTTTAAATCAAAGTATAGAACAGTAATATGTAGTTTTCTCTCTTTAAGCAAAACTTCTTTTATTTCCAAATATTTATTTATTAACCTGAATTCAACTCATCTCAACAAAAGTTTTACATCCATTTATATCGAAACAACTATCTACAAAGATCATTATTACATTAACCACTAAATACATAATTACAATTAAAATAGTTAAAAACTACTAACAAAAGTAATTGTCAGAATGTTTTTGAACTTTCTGCATCAAACTTACACTCCTCCTTGGTCCTTAAGGATCATACAAATAATAATCGGCGTATTTTTGGGGCATGCATTGTTCTCGAGTATTTCGATGCAACGACACTTCTGTTTCTTGGTATCCGTTTTCGGCTTCACCGTTTGTTTGTTGTACGTCTTTTTGACTCGTCTCCAACATAATTTTAATTTGCTCAATATGGTTTTCCGCGTCATCATGACGATATTATATTTTATGATCTTTAAGATCCTTAAGGAGGAATGTGAGTTTGGTGCAGAAAGTTCAAGAACATTCTATGACACTTACGTGGTTTCTTTTTGTTAGTAGTTTTTAATTTTTTTAATTGCAACTATGTATTTAGTGATTTTTGTAATGATGATCATGTGGATAGTTATTTGATATAAATGGATGTAAAACTTTTGTATAGATAAGTTAAATCAGGGTAATAAAAATAATATTTGGACAGAAAAGAAGTTTTCTTTCGAGCAAGAAAATTACATAATATAATAGAATATTATTGTCTTTTAGGTTAAAGATTACTGAAAAAGCTGTGCACAAAAATTTAACACACTATTTTTTAAAATATACATCTTTTAGTTAAAGGACAAAAACGCAGGGACACTGACAGAAAGGGGGTGGAGAGGATAAGCAATTTAATTTAAGCATAGCCATCCCAGCCAACACAAACATGTCTTTTTAGAATCTAAAATGTTAACACAAATGTTTTAGATGTCTGAATTCACACTATAAGACATCTAATTGTATTTATCTTTGAGACTATAAGACATCTAATTGTATTTATCTTTGAAACGACGAATAATAGCTGTCTAAAGCTGTCTATAAGACGACTACTATTAGGTGTCTTGTATTTATCCAAATATAGACCTAAAAGGTGTTAACATTTTAGATGCTAAAAAGTCCTCTAAAAGACGTGTTTGTACTGGCTGGGATTTAATTTAAAAAACATCTACTATGGTTATTTTTGAAAAACTTTTTTCGATTTTTTTTCAGTATAGCGCCAAAATTTTTGTTGACAAAAAAAAGAAAAGTAAAATGAGTTCTTTTTTTTCCTGTAGTCTTTATTTATTTCAAACTATATCGCTAAATCTGACCAAAAACAACAACAACAAAAATCTGATCAACAATAAGTTGAACAAGTTAGCTCCATTTATACACTAAATTAATTTGGATTATGCAAATAAATTCATCTTTGACACTTTACAATGATACTTTTTTAATGATGTGACAATAAATAAAACCCTGACTTTCAGATGCATAAATATGACCAAAGTAAGTTAACTTTAGTTCTATAGAACTGAAGTTAACTTACAGAATCTATTCTAGTTCTATTTATATATTTATATACAATATCCTAAAATAATATCCTATACCTGTAAAAATAAAAAATGTATTTATAAACAGTGTGGTGTCTACTAGTATGAGCCTCCTCCCCCCCCTTCTCCCCAAAAAAAAGTCCTCACATTTGCAAAAGGGCTCTTCAATTTGCAAATTGGCTCCCCAAACTTGCTGCACTTCCCCTTATAATACATTATATTATCACTCTTCCTTATAATATAATTAAATTAAAAAAATAATTATATATATATATATATATATATATATATATATATATATATATATATATATATATATATATATATATATATATATATATATGTGTATAAGTTAATAATATTATTACTAGCTATCATGACCCGTAAAATACAGGTCTTGGTAAATCTATTCCATGCCAACCTTTTCTATACTTTTCCATTATTTCAATATATTTTAGTAAGAGGTAGAAAAATAATTAAACATTGCGGTAAACGTTGCGCGAAGCGCTATTTATCAATCGGATATCAGTACCAGTCTATATTATATTTAGAACACCGACTTGAAATGTGTTAATTAAATACAATTGGTATAAAAGGTTTCAAAAAACATGAGATGACTTAACATTAACAAAAAACATGAGATGACTGAACATTAATATATTATATAAACATGAGATGACTGAACATTAACATATTACTGGTAATGGTAAATCTGTTCCACACCTACCATTTTAATAATTTCACTTTGTTTCAATAATTTTAAAAAAAGACCAAAATATAAAAATCTTTGTTTTGAGTTAACGATTATCTTTCAACATTTTACAACTTCTGTAAACTTATATATATATGTATATATATATATATATATATATATATATATATATATATATATATATATATATATATATATATAAAGAATATATATATGTATATATAAGGGATGGAATTTATAATTTTTTTGTTTAATAAGTTTCTATTAACTTTTTTTAATGCCATCAGCAACTTATTCCAGAGATCATCCAGGTTATTTTATAAAAATCCAGAAAATTGTTTGGGTAAAATATTCGGAATATATTTTGCTCTTAATTTTACTTTTAGCTGAGTGGTTTCAAATTTTTTTTAAATTTCAGTAAACCAAACAACCTATCTATGAGAAGAGAAAGAAGTGATTTAACTAACTTTTTTAAATGCCTTAATAATTCTTATCAGCTAAAGACAGTATCTTCCCTAAGGAACTTTTGTCAACCAACTGGACCAGCTAGAAGTGTTCGCAACTATATTTTAATCATAGATACACTTCTGAGATCTGTAGACACTCGAGTAGAAGGAATTTTTTTTCCAATCGAGTTATTCCAATTTGGAACTATTTGCTGTTTGATGTTCAACTTAATAAGTCTGTGTTGAACTTAAAAAAAAGTCTTGATGAACTTTATTATGTAAATTAAAATTTCAAATTGTAGTGTTTAAACTTGCTGCTAAAGTGGATTACCACTCAGTGAGCATTTGCTCACTGCAGCAATTAAATAAATAAATAAAAGATTCACAGCAAAATCACAAACCCATTGTCTATAGTTAAATATTTTTCTTAAAACAAGAAATTTCTTGTTTTTAGAATCAAACTGTGGATGGGAAATTTATTCCTTAATACAGAAAATAGATTTCTTGTTTTAAGAAAAATACTTCTTAATAATAAATATAATTTTGTTGTGTAACCAGTTGTTAAAACAGCTGCTTGTTGTAGGTAAAGATAGAGCTTCACTAGATTCGGATATTTGACTCATAGTTTGCTACATTCCATAGAAAAATTAACAGCAAAAATGTTTATTATTATTTAGGTCCATTTTTGAATCTATAGTTGGCTGTATTCATGTTGTATCCATGTTTTTCTTATAGACAGTTTCTGTTTACATTTACACAATGTTAATTTTAAAAATTACACACTAGGCAATGCTAATTGTTTAGGAAAAACAGTTAATTGTTTTTTAATTTTTGTAATGAGGGAAGTTAGAACAGCGTTCTAACTAATAATTTTAGTGAATATCTAGAGAAAAAATCAATTTTTGAGTACTTACAAAAAGGAAAACTAAATCAAAAAATTTTGTAATTAAGACTTATTGCCTTAATTACAAAAATTACAAATTTAAAAGGCTTAGTTTATTGTTATGTCAACTAGTTATGTCTTTTGCATGTGTTTGTTGTGTATGAAAATATTATGCAAATTATTTTAACAAAATTTTTGTATTTTTTGTAGATGTTTTAACAAGTCTAAAGCAAAAACGTCATGCTGATTTTGTTAAGTATCTGGAAACAGCTCGTTCCAAGAGTGTAACTCCTGATTGTTTTGATAAATGTCTTAAGTTAGCAGTTGAAAACAACAACTTTACTGTAATAGGTGTAATAATGCTTCGAAAACCTCGTAATGCAAAAGAATGTTTAATTGATACAATAATAAAGACAGATAGATATAAATTTGATGCGCTAAAAATGCCAGATTGTTCTAAAAGCACCCTTTTATTGCTATTATGTTATGCTGTTGAAAAACACTTTAATGATGTAATCAAAGTAATTTGTGAGAACAAAGATTTTGAGACAGACAAATCTCAATTGTTAAAGTGCGATGTTCAAATTTCTGCTGAAACATTGCGTCATTTAAAGTAATTTTATTAATTTTTTTTTATTACTTTATTAAAGTTAATTTTTTTTTTACTTTCTTTTTTCTTATATCCTCTGCCCTGACCTTTACTCCTTTAAACATAAATCTTGAAAAAAGATTTTTGTGTGTCATTTTTAGTTAATAAAAATGAAAAATAATCCAAGACTTCATTTAAAAAAAGATTTATTAAAGTATATACAAAATTATTTTGAACTATTTCAAATTCTGGTCATTTCTTTATTTAGGTTTGTAAATTAATAACTTTTATCTGCTCTGTCAAGAGAGAAATAAGCAAGTCATCAAAATATGACTTAAAATGAAGTAAAAACAGAAAAACAATCTTCAATAACAACTTGAATCTAATAAAAATTGCGTTCATTGCAATTGTGACTTTAAGTATCTATACATATTTAAATATTATATTAACAGCTCCATGCTTCATTTTTGTGATGTAGTACAATTACTACAATGTAAGAAAAAGGGTCATGTGCTCCAATACTCCACTTTTTATTGGCTGAACAAGGTACTGCCTTTTGCCTCTTATTAGTATTTGTCAATAGTGGTAAGATTTGATTTCTTTAACTATTGATTTCACAGTGAAACTATGTATGATAATACTATATATATCATCTAATAGGACTTTCATATTTAAATTGAACCAAAAATAAACCTAATTTAAGCCAAAAGTGGACTTAATGTCATTTGTTTCTTGTGGTTTCTTGACTGAATAAAATAATAAAGTCTAGTATTTCCAGAATAGCAAAGTGTTGCATGGAAATCATATAGAACTTTTTGCTGCATACCGAACACAAGTAAATGTATCTGGACCACTGTTACATTTCCCTGAGTGATGATGTGTATCATACGAATATGCAGGCAAGACTGTTCTTTAATTCATTATCTTATCATTCTTTATTTTACTGTTGTTTTTTTTGTAATCATACATAAATGAGACAAATTCATTCTGATCACACTGATCAAACCCAATGTCGCCAATAATGGGTACTTGGTTCTTATATTCTTGCTTCAACCAAATGATTGGTTTCAGATTTAATAAATTCTCTATCTCTTTGAGAATAATGTCAAGATCCAGTGGCACTAGGTCAGCAATCTTTGGTGAGATTACCAAATCAGGTCAGCAATCTTTGGTGAGGTTACCAAATAATTCTTATTTTCACTTAACTCTTAAAAATCTGTATGAAAGAATGGTAACTATACATAAGTTACCTAGCACATGCAGTTTGACTTTTTTTATAGATTTTATATTGAAGAGTTGTTAAACAATATCCATCTGATTTTGCTGACAAAGAAGCTGATGCCATTCCAATATGATTTTTTTCATAAATAAATGCTAAATTGAGTAAATTGACTAGTTTATTATTAATGAAACTTTTATTTGTACTTCCAGTATCAATCAAGAGTTCTGCTTTATTTTTGTATAGTAAATTTAAGGTAGACTCAAAAAACAGATTTGGCTCAAGCTAAGATAATGTTAGGAATGGCCGCTGAGAAATTAAAAGATCAACAAAGTTTTTCAAAACAACCTAGCTTTTTACATTTATATCAGGTAGGTTCATGAGAAGGACATTTGGTATGAGAATGTCAATGTTTCTACAGAACCAACACAATTGTTTTGATTTTAATGCAGCAGCTACACAGATATTACTATGAATAATGGCATCACTTGTAGATGGTTTTTGCATTTCCTGAAGTGAGGCAGTGTTAGTGAAAATCGGTATAGTTGATTGAGAGTACAAGTTTGAGTTTTGTTAGGCCACAGCTGAAGATCTTTGAGCTGAAGCTCAAAGGCTGAAGTAAGATCTAATGTCTTGTTTTTAATAAACTCTGGCATATAATGTTGCAAAGCAAGCCTTTTATAAAAGCATCAAGAATCGTTTTAGGTTTGTATTCCACGCTAACAGCACTAAACTTACAGTCTTTAAATTCCTAAATGAGTTAAGTTCTTTAACTCATTTAGGAATTGGTTTATCAATATAATTCATGCGTTTTTGGAACCAAATAATTTAAAAAAATTTTAATTTTTCTCATGAATGGAATTATTATATGTTCAAAAGAAAATTAAAAAAAGTAATTTTCTCAATTGAAAATATATTTATATACTTTTAATTATACCCAGTCATCACTCATTTATATTTTACTTTTATACAATATTGATTTAATGTTTATGTGAGAAACTATATTTAAACACCATTATTTGAATTTTGTTAAAACTTGCACTGACATTATTTATACAGTAGTTATTATTTACTTGTTTACTTTAATTTTTATTTTAATTCGTAATATTTGGTCTTGTTTGCATAGTTTAGGTCTTGTTTGCATAGGCCTTAGTTTGAAGTTTTGGGCTTGTTTGCCTCGGCCTTGAAACTCTTAATCTTGATCTTGACCTTGAAACTCTTAGCCTTGGCCTTTTCCTTGGCCTTGTAAGTTTTGACCTTGTTAACAGCTCTGGCAATAACTGCTCGAACACTTTTCTTTATTTTCCGTGCTTTAAAAAAAAGCATGGTTTATCAATATAATAATATTTATTTATTTATTTATTAAGTTTTTTTGCTTATATGTAGATAAATCATGTGTTGCAAATATTTCATTCTTTGGTTTTATGTAAACTTAAGTTAATTATACTTGTTACTTGCCCAAACTTACACTCTAAAATGTGAGAGGAATTGGTTTTTCACAATATAAATTCTAATATTCTAAACTAGGTGGAAACATCTTCAAGGTTCTAAAAATTTTTTTTAAAACAATATTTTGTTTAGAAATTATACCTAATTTAAATTTACAGCACCCTCGTTTTGAGGGTTGTAAACTTTGAATAGTTATAACTTTTGAATGCTAGATGTTATAAAAGGAATTCATTTTTTTTTTTTTTTTTGAAAAAACAATTTCACTCACATTTAAGCATGTGTAACAAAATTTGCTAGAAGCAAAAATGCCCTTTTTAGGACATTTTTGTTTCAAGGCTCTGCACATATTGCATGGTACTACCAGGGAGGTGGTAATAATCAAACTGGGAACTTCTCACTTATAAAGCGAGCACTCTACCACTACACCACTTACCTTTGTTAATGACACTGTTGAAGATTTACCAAATTTCCTCTAAAATCTAATATTTACTATAGTTACTATAGTTATAGCAGAACTAATATGTTAATTAAAAGAAATATATTTTATTAAGATTCATGATGAAATTAAATAATTTTAAAACTTATTAAAACTTGTAATGATTCAATGTAAATATATCTTAGTGTAATGATTCAATAAATATATCTTAGTATAATGATTTAATATAAATATATCTTCAATGTAAATATATCTGACTTAGGTTTTATGACAAAAATAAAGTAGTAAATAATAAAATATTTGTAATAAAATAGGCCCAGTTAAATGTTCTGCAGCAAATAATACAGGAGAAATTAGGGAATCAAAAAGTGAGAAAAAAATGTTAAGTTTGGTTTATCTATAGAATTGCTTGGGATTTTACCAGTTAAATTAAAAGGCATTTTAAAACACAACATAATACCTGAAGCAAAAAAAAACTTGACAACTATAAACAGAGTTGCAAAAATGTTTTCGTTAGCATATGTTATTGATAAATCTTCTTTGATAGCAGGAACAAACAGCACCAAATCAAATGATAACTTGAAGTAAGATCATAATCTAGACATTTTTTTAATGTATAAAATCTATTGCTATAAAATAGAAAAGTTAATACTTGTACGAATCATGGACATGTAAAAAGATACCAAATTACTTTGAATTTTCTAAGTTTCTTGATCAAACTTCAAGACATGTTAAAAATGAACAAAAGATTCTATCAATGCTAAGAATTACATTTGAAAATAACTATCCTAATGGCAAGGTCTTTTTGTCAAGATTTTGTGCTCTAAAACCTAAGTGGTGCATTACAACTAATGCATCTGGTACTCACAATGTATGTGCATATGTACATTACAAAAATAAAAAGGGGTCGTCTACAAGTACGTACACACATTGGGGAGGGGTCTTCAAATAGCATACAAAAACATATAACGGAAGAAAGGGAGGGCTCAATATAAAAGTATGTATGCACTATTTAAAAAAATAATTTCTTATTAATGTTTGTTTTTCTAATTTATCACAATTAACAAGGAAGAGGGGGGGAGGGGCAAATTTGAGTGTTTACTATAATAAAATATTACAAAGACAATCTAATTTTTTATCTTATATATAGACATCTAATTTTTTTGACCTAGACCTTAGATAAAGTTATGATATAGAATTAACATTTTTTCTAGGAATTTTAGCTCTAAAAATCATTTATTTTAAGTCAATAATTTTGAATGAAGTTTAATAAGCAAAGCATTTCTTGAGAGTATAAAGTTCTTAAAAAGATATTTTTGAATTCCTTAGGCTAAAATCTACATAGGTTTCAAATTTTAAGAGATACTTCAATCCATTTTTAAGATATTTATGTCAAAGTTGCTTTGTTGTCTCCTCAAATAATCACAAAAATGCTGATTTAGCATTATTTCAATTGTCAATATCTCAATAACCCTAAAATTTATTTAATATTGACTGCAAGTGATGCAAAAAAAAAAAGAAAAACAGCTCCAAGACATATGGGTGACATGATCTGAATGATTTCATATAGAAAGACCCTTAAGTCTGCTTAAAATTTTACAAAACAATTTCTTTTTAAAACTACTGGTGTGATTTTATTGACAGTTTTTTTTTTTACTTCTATTGATTTCTTTATGATATTTTTTGGATGATTTATTTTAATGTGTTTATGCAGAGGTGTTGTACTTCAACATTTTTGCCATCACTTTCCACATTTAGTTATTAATACCACATTTTGGCCTAGCCTTATTTCCACGTTTAATTGTTTTTTTTACAGGTTTTACTCTCTGCATACGCATCAATTGCATTATTTATTTATTGACCAGATTAAAAACTTCATTATTAAATAAAATTTACATAAAAATTATGTTTATATAATTT